TTTTTTTGTCATTTGCCAATTATCATATCATATGTTCCTGTTCATAATTTAGTTGAAATTGAATCAATTGATTGATTCGATTGGTTAATCGATTGATTAATTTTGTATTCGATTGATTGACAGTTAATATTTTTTTTCAAAATTATCGATTAATTCGGTTTGAAATCATTTAGTTAACTGAATAAATAAAAAATAACCAAAATTATTAAACATTTAATGTATTATCTATATTGTTTTTAGTTTCAGAAATGTTTAAACTTCGATTTTAACTAACTGAATAAATCAAAAATATTATTTAATATATATTATTTATACATTTCAATTAATTCTGTTAACTGACGAATTAACCAAAATTTTCGGTTGAATTAATTTTTAAAAAAAAATTCAATCTATTAACAATTAAACAAATAAAAATCGTAATAAATTTTTGGTAATCCCCAACTATCATATGACTTTTCAAAAGGATGACTTTCTATATCACTATTCACTCATAACAACTTTTAATGTAAATAAAATTATTTTTGCTTTATTAATGGTCATAATCAGATATTTAAAAGCTGAATAGAGTTTTTAATTAAATATTATATTATTTATATCACTTTTTAATTAGATAATATATTTTCTTCTCACGGAAGATAAAAATTTCAACATTTCATCCATAAATTACAAGACTTTCTGTCAAATCACTTTAATTTAAGTTGTTAGTTGAAGTCACTCCACAATTTTGTAATTGGATAAAGATTAAAGTAATTTTATATTTATTTTAATATCTAAATTCATGTATAAAGTGATGTTATAGATTAATTAGATATTGTAGATGACCATTTTTGTAAATATTGTAAATGACCATTTTAATATGTAAATTCATGTATAAATTGATGTTATAGATTAATTTATTTTAAGTTGTTAGTCAGATGATTATTTTTGTAACTTTTAATAGTCAAGGAACTCAATAAAGTAACACTCCATAGTCGAAGGTCCATTTTGTAACTTATAATGATCAATGAATTTAATAAAACAGTACCTATAATGGGAGACCATTTGTGCTCTTTATCCAATACATTTTTATAAATAAAATTGAATATAAAATATTTTATTTGCCAAATTGCAATTCGTTCTTAAGTAGATGAATACTCGTGATGGAAAACAATCTTCAATTAATCAAAATATTCAAATACTTATCGCTTTCAATAATTTTATGTTAAAAGATTTCGTAAATTAAGCCTTTGTTTAATAATGCATTAAAAAATGGGTAAACTACATGCTTATTACCCAATTATCACTTTTATTCTTTTTTGATAATCTAATTATTATTTTTAAATCATATTTAACGTTACATTTTAATTTTATTTTGATCACTCACAGTTAAAAAATTAACAAATTTAATGTCGTGAAATTTTGTAATTGTTATTAATGATTATATGATATTATTTTAAAGTAATACGTCATAATCACGGCAAATTTTTAATGAAAAATGGTTAGAATAAAACTAAAACTAAATATTAAGTATAATTGAAAAAGTAATTAGATAACTAAAGCAAAACAAAAATAATAATTGAGATATTAAACGCATAAATGATCTTTAAAAAATTTAAATCCATTTAAAATTCAAACAGTGATGTCTAATTTTTTTCGTTGTTGTCTAGAATTAATAATAGATTTAGTTAGAGAAATGGTTGTAATATTATGTTTGAAAAAAAAAGAATTCCCCAAATACTTCACTCAAGCAATTATTTACTAGACTAGTGTGTTTGAAATAGTAATTTGGACAAGACCTAAGATTGTTGCACGTCTTCACCCCCCACCAATTATTTTTTTTTTCTACAAAGTTGAAGATGCATGGTAATCCATGCGTCTTCCATGAAAAAAATGAAATCACATGATGATCCATATGACTTTCCATGGAGATTAGAAAACAACCTAGTTTAAAAAATAATTTGGTGAGAGCTCTATACAAGAATTTTTTTTCCAACGCCATATACGGGCGATGAAGCCGATTTAGTCCGTTATCGACCGAAGGATTCTCTCTATTCTTTCAATTTTTTTATTGGGTAAATTATACATTTACCACTTGCACTATCACTTTTGCTCTATTTTAGTATCTAAACTTCAATTTTTTTAAATTATACTTAACATTTATTTTTTATTCCATTTTAGTATTTGGCATTAATTGATATTTTTATTGTAAATTACAACATTCACCACTCAACTATCTTCTTACTTCTATTTTGATCATTGAAGTTTATTTTTTTAATTTAATCACTTAAATTTCAAATTACTTACATTTTAATTACTCTAATTTATTTTATTAATTTTTATGATGTGACACTTTTAATTATTATTTTATTAATATATGATTAAAATAAAAAGAAAGGGAAGAGTTGGGGAGGCTCATAAGAGTAAGGCCGTGAGGGTGGGGTGAGTGATTTGTGATTTAGGAGGTTTGGTATAATTTTTGGGTTTGGATATAATTTTAAATTTATTTTTTATTTTAGTTAATTAATAAAATAATAATAAAAAATTCAATGTCACCAAAATATTAATAAAATAATTTATAGTGATTAAAACAAGAGCAATTTGAAAACTAAGTAGTTAAATTAATTTTTTTTTAAATTTTAGTGGCCAAAATAGGAATGAGAGGACAATTGATTGATGAATAGTGTAATTTTCCCATAAAAATGTTATTTTTCTTTAATTTTTAACGGTACGGTACTAAATGAAACAAAAAGTTAACGACATATATTAAAATGAAATAAAAAATAAACATTAGGTATACTTTTGAAAAAAAAAATAAAAATTTAGATATTAAAACGAAATAAAAGTGATAGTTACTAAATATATAGTTCAGTCTTTTTTTTCTTTTTCGCTTCTTTAAAATTTGTTTTACAAAGTGATATTCCTTTTTTGTTTACAAGACTTTCCTTATTCAGTAAAAGAATATGAATTTTTGGTATTGTTTTATACCTATTTTAATCTTGTTTCCCCTTATTCCACAGAGCTGGCTGCCTATGCTTATTATACTCGAACCATCATCTGGTTTTGGTAAAAAATGGGAGCATGCTGGTCCACCAGAGACCGATGTAGTGACGGTCCAGAAATTTATATATGTAGGTCCAAAAATTTTAATACTATTTTTTTAGTATAATGGGTATGCAAAATTTATTATCTTTTCTTTTTCTCTTAGGTGACGTTTGGTTCGGTGGAATGTTTATGAGAGAATTGAAATCTGTGAACAAATTAGAATCTGTCAGGAATTGGAATCTAATTCCATATTCTGTTTGGTTGGCAGGAAATGGAATTGGAATCCAATTCGATATTCTGTTTGGTTCGCAGACATGTCATATGAATTTGATTTCAGTAATATAAAATGACATAATTGCCCTTCTTATTTTTTGCTTTATTTTAGTTTGTTTTACAACTTACATGTAGTAATATATTAAAAAATATTAAATTTTCATTTTATTGATTGATTATTCATTTCAATAAATTATAAAAATCATACTAATAAACATCATAAGTTAAAATCATCGCAATCAAAATATGTTAATAAGTTATCAAAAGATAGAACAATATTTCGATATATTCCAATCGGAGTATGTTAATTAGTTACCAAAAAATATACCAAAAACTATTTTTATTCAATATATGAATTAGAAACTGGACCCGACACATCACAAAATAATAAAAAATATTTTTATTCAATAAAAATATTGACTTAATTGAAAAAAATTATATATAGAGGGGTATTATTGTAATTATTTCTAAATATATAAGGTAAAATTATATATTTTTTCGGGTCGGTCCTGTTTTTTCACCCTAAACCCGAACCCGACCCGGCCTGAATATTACACTTAAAAAAAACCAAACCCGACCCGACCCAAATATCACACTTTAAAAAAAAACCCAACCCGACTCGGCCTGAATATCACATTTAAAAAACCCGACCCGAACAAAATAAAGTTTCACCCGACCCGACTCGAATATATGAATTAGAAATCCGACCTGACCCGAAATAATAAAAAATTATTTTTATTCAATAAAAACAATGACTTAATTGAAAAAAATATATATATAGGGGTATTATTGTAATTATTCCTAAATATATAAGGTAAAATTATATATATTTTCGGGTCGGGTATTTTTCACCCTAAACCCGAACTCGACCCGACCCGAATATCACACTTAAAAAAACCGACCCGACCAAAATAAAGTTTCACCCGACCTAACCCGAATATATGAATTAGAAACCCGACCCGAAATAATAAAAAATATTTTTATTCAATATATGAATAAGTTACCAAAAGATTAATGATGGTAGTATGGTAAAATTTCAATTCCCTCCAACAAGGGAATTGAATTCCATCCATTTTTTGATGGATTTCACTTTCCCTCATTTGATGGAAAGGTTAAATCATGAGGGATTCCAATTCCCTTGGAAAGCTTGAACCAAACATGGGAAAATGATGGAATTGGATTCCAATTCCCTCAATTTCAAGGGATTCCATCCAACCAAACGCCACCTTAATATATTTAATTATATTAAATAACTACTCTAAAAAAAATGAATATGCATTTGGTCCTATGAAGCAATATGCATCCGCCCTTGGACCGATGGTTTGGATTTGTTTTATACACATTTTAGTCCTAATGCATGTTGCATGGGGTGGTTCTACACTTGTGGAGTTCAATAATGGTTTTGTCCTACTAACCCAATTGTATGTGGAGACGAAGAACAATGTTCAACACAAGGGAAGATGAACAACAATGGCACCTATGCAAGATGCTATTATGGTTTGGACCATTCATTCAACTGGGATATAGTCCATAAAATATATTTTGAATTAACTTGAAGGTCATTTGTAATATCATTAAGCCAACTGAAATGCTTTTAAGGCCTTTCAGAATATTTAGCCCAAAGATCCATTGAAATGAAAGAAGTAATGGAACTCACCTCGTCAACCAACCCACTCAAGTATACAAACACCATATCCTGTCATCCTGGTTGGTTTTGCTCCACCTCATCTCCAAAATCTCTTCAGAAACCAGAATTTACTAAGGAAAAAAAAAAGCTTAAAGAGATTGTAATTGAAACGCTGAAAACAGAAGAAGGCCATTGTCAAATTCAATTGAGAAAGAAGTAACAGTGAAATTGCAATAATAATTTAGGGAAACAGTGGAAGAAGACAACCCAGTTTTCGTTTTTCTCTGGGATGGTAGTATTTCACTGTAAGATTTCTTCCTCTTTTGATGATTTTGCCCCCTGAGTTTTTTTTTCATACTTGGTAATTGATTTATTCTTTTCCTTGGAGTTTCAGGTCTTTCGAGGGAAGATTGTAGTGTATTTTCTTAGATCTTAAGGTCAGGCAACTGATTCCTCTAAAAAAACTGCAAATACCCAGACTTTGTTTTCATCATCCTTTAGATTTTTACGGCATAAACCACCCAAATTTATTTTCTCCAAAAAAAAAATGTTATTTCCACTTTTCTACAAAAATTCGAGTTTGGGTCTTTTGAATTTCATTATTTCTCTTCAACTTTGAGAATTTTGTTGGGGTAAGACAATTGAATTTTTTATTTGTTTTTAATGGCAGAGATGGAGAAAGAAGAGAGGAGCCAAAGAGCATGCAAAACAATAGAGCCAGAGGTGTTCTTACAGTGGGGGAATAGAAAGAGGCTAAGATGTGTGAGAGTTAAAAACCCTCAAAAGATCTCTCTTAAATCCAATACTGTAATTCGTGGAAGAATCACTTCTCGGCTCTTAGATAAAGAATCCTCCCCTTTTGCTCAATACACTCATCGTCTCACTAGGTATGAAGATCAAAGTTTTTTTTTTTAATTTTAAAAACAATAAATTTTCTCGGCCCTTTTTGACGGTTTGGAAAAAAAGAAGAGTTTTTCTTTGTTTTCAAGCTTTTTTCTTTCTTTGAATTTTTTTGATTTAGCCCTTTTCTATGTTTTCTGAGATGCTGTTGGATATGGGTTTCTCCCCCCCCCCCCCCCCCGCGGGAAAAAAAATAAACCATCTCCCACTGCCCAAGGATTTTCCGAGAAAATGACTAGATGAGGTTATGCATCTCATTATCCCCTGTTTGGATGCTCGGATTCGTCTGGTCTACGTCATTGTAGTTTTGTGACTGCTGCTTTGGTTTCTTAGCAGCCAAACATGGTGTTTCCCATGTAAAACCTTTGTAATGAAAATAAGCAAAAATGTGAAATTGACTTTCCCTTTCTTTCTTGTACTTTTGGTTTGTAGGAATTCAGAAGCAGCTATACTCCGATCCGGTACAACGAAAGCGTCGTCCTCAGCTGAGAGGGAAGACAGGTACTACACAACAAGGGGATCATCAGCAGTGGGATTGGTGGATGAGAATGGGAAGATTGCAATGGATAGCATCAATAATGGAGATGATAAGAAAGGAGGGGTGGTGTGGCCAAAGCTGTATATCACATTGTCAAGCAAAGAAAAAGAAGAGGATTTCATGGCAATGAAAGGGTGTAAACCCCCTCAAAGGCCTAAAAAGAGAGCCAAAATCATCCAAAGGAGCTTATTTGTAAGTATAATCCATTTACTTGATAATATCAAATACCTATCTATCAGTGTTTTTGACATGTTTTGTGGTGGGTTGGTTGTGGCAGCTGGTAAGCCCTGGGGCATGGTTGACTGATATGTGCCAAGAAAGATATGAAGTTAGGGAAAAGAAGAGTTCTAAGAAGGTAAACATATGGTTTGCTTTCTCTTTCTTTTAATTTACCACAATATAACAATCCTAGGGTTCCTGGGTTGCTCGGACTATGTGTACACGTTATATATATGTTGTCAATGGTTAAAAGAACCTTGAAATAACACCATATTATTAAAAAAATCCTTTAACTTTTAGTTATGTATTCAATATGTTCTGCATAATGCACATGTAGTTATCTTCCCACTTTTTAATGCAGAGACCAAGGGGATTGAAGGCCATGGGGAGTGTGGAAGGTGATTCAGATTGAAGATTACATGCCATGCATCCATGGCAGCAGAGCAACAGGAGCTTCTTTTTTTTCCTCAGATTTTTTGCAGTTAATGGTGGTGTAAAGGTTTGAGAGAGAAAATATAGAGAAGTTTAAACAGTCTCTTGCTTGCTGAGGTTTGGTGTAAAGAAGTTGAAATTTCCATTTTTATGAATGAAATAATTTTTCTTCTCACCACTCCAGATATTTTTACTGCATTTTGGTGCCAACAATTTGGCCTAAGTGTTATATTTGATTTATGATTTTTTACTTTATTTTTTGTTCAATTAAAAACTTAAAATTGACTTTTCTGCTGAAATTAATATTTGATTTTGGTTCGTTTGTTTAATTTGATTTTTATGATTTTTTCCAATTAAATATTTGTTATTTATAGTTTTTACATTTGAAAGTAACTGTTAATTTTTTTGAGGAAACATATAGGAATATTATTGCCATGCAAACACCGTCGAACATGTAAAAGCTAATAGAAAAACAACCCTAAAACAGGCTAAGAAACACAGCCTGAGGACAAGGGCCGATCGACCGCCAGTAAACCAGTTGCAAAATCGGGGGTTGCTCCACCCAGCGGTTGAATGAGTCGGACGTGAAACACTCAAGAGCAAAAGCTTGAGCCACCGCATTATCCAAACGACCAACATGATGGGAACACTGATCAAACAAACCAGCATGATGGGAACACAGATCGAACAAACATGCAAGACGTCGAATTCGCTCTATAAGAGGACCACCAAAGGAGTTGTCCGCAATAGACTGCCCGCCCTTCCAATAACCGAACGAGAGTCTCCCGCGATCACATAAATTCGCTCCCCTCACTCACGAGCCAAAAGCACACCTTCCAGGTAAGCCAAGTCTCCACATGAAAAGCATCCATTGCATGGAGAACAAATAGGGACACCGCGATAGGAGATGACAGCAAAATGATGAATGTTGCTTGTAATTGTAGAATTCAAGTCTAGAGATCTAGACTCGATGAAGAACAAGCTTCATGAAATAATGGAATTTAGCGTAAACCCTAGGGTTCTTGATAAAGTTACCGGAAAATTCAAACAAGATGAGTTTATGAATATGATGAATGAAAGATAACAAGGACAAATAAAAGAACGAATAAAGAAATAAATAACAAAGATATGAACATTTAGTTAAATTAGGGTTTTTGGATTAAACTGTTTCTGACATAGAATCAAACAAGAAAGTAATTATTAGAAAGACAATCGGTAATATATAATGATTATATGAAAAGATAAAAGAAACGATTGATAAAGAAAAGAAAGGATTCAAATTGAAAATTCCCCAAATATGTATGAAGTTCACGTGAACTTTGTTGAACGGCGATGATAAAAATGATGAATAAATGTCCTACGAACCATCCTAGCCGTAATTGACTAGGCAAACTCAATAATCGGCTCTAATCATCCCTACTAATCATTATGAAGAGACAAATTAGAGAGTGAAGATCTCCCTCACAAAGAACTTGAAAAACTTTACGATGAAGAATGCTTCGAAGACATAAGGCTATCAACACTTGCAAAAACGTACACACGTATTATTATTCAAGAAAGATGTATTTTACGATGATGAATGAGGCCTCTTTATACATGAGAGGAGTTTCGAAAGTATTAAGTAACTAATGAATAAAATAATAATAAATTAAAAATATTTTAATTCTAATTTCTAATAAAATAATAAATATTATTTTAAAAGTTAGTAAAGTATCCTATATCAAATTATATATTACAAATAATCAATAAAAATAGGCTTAATGGATACTTTTTTCCCTGTAGTAGACTCAATTTATCATTTACGCCATATGGTTTTTTTTGCCTCAATTTAGCCCTTGAAGTTGTTTAGGGTATTCATCCTAGCCCTTGAAGTCAGTGACCGTTTAGACTAACAAATTTGTGAGTTTCATGCGTCTGTGGATTAAGGGGTTAAGTTAAAATATTTATTAAACACAATGATTAGACCAAATTCCTAAAATTTTATTATTTATTTCAATGAGATTAAGGGATTAGGTCAAATTTTTAGGGATTTTTTCTAATCGTTGTATTTAGTAAATATTTTATTATTTATTTTTTAAAATAAATTTCACAACATCATCGAGCCACGTCAGTAATATTGGCTGATGCGAAAATTGTTGGCGTTGATAAACGCAGAAGACTAACAGTTCTAATAGTCAAAACAAACTTTGAGGGAAAAGAGGAATATCCTAAACAACTTCGAGGGTTAAATGGAGGGAAAAACCTATAGGGATAAAAGTGATAAATTGGGTTAACTACAGAGGCAAAAGTATTAAGTAACTAATGAATAAAATAGTAATAAACAAAGACATTTTAATTCTAATTCCTAATAAAATAATAAATATAATATTAAAAGATGGTAAAGTGTCCTATATCAAATTATATTACAAATAATCAATAAAAATAGATCTAAGGGCTATTTTTACCCCTGTAGTAAACTCAATTTATCATTTCCTCCTTATGATTTTTTTTGCCTCAAATTAGCCCTCGAAGTTGTTTAGGGTATTCATCATATCCCTTGAAGTCAGTGACCATTTTAACTAAAAAATTTGTGATTCTTTTGTGTCTGTGGATTAAGGGGCAAGGTGAAAATATTTATTAAACACAATGATTAGACCAAATTCCCAAAATTTTATTATTTATTTCAATGAGATTAAGGGATTAGGTCAAATTTTTAGAGATTTTTTAATCGTTGTATTTAGTAAATATTTTATTATTTATTATTTTTAATAAATTTCACAAAATCTTCAAGTCATGTCAGTAATATTGGCTGATGTTGAAATTGTTGGCGTTGATAAACGCAAAAGACTAACAGTTCTAATAGTTAAAATAGACTTTGAGGGTAAGGATGAATATCCTAAACAACTTCGAGGGTTAAATTGAGGGAAAAAATCCATAGGGACAAAAGTGATAAATTGGGTCTACTACAGGGGCAAAAGTTGCCCTTAAGCCATACAAATATTGATAATTCATAGAATTTATAAAATCCTATATTAATCACGTATACAAATTTCTACACGTGTTATCTTTGCTAAAATTGACGTATCTTGAATTCTTGATATTGGATTGATGAGTTTCAAGTAACATTGGAAAGCTAAGAGACAAATGGTTGTATCTCTAGAAGACACGTCATCCAAATAACATCGATATCCCATTCAAGAAGTCGTCGCAAGTCTTTTGTTGTTCTAGTCTTCTTTTCCAAGGCTTGGGCGTGTGAACCAATTGGAAGAGTTAGTCAGTCTTCCTTTGATGTGAGCCTTGTGGTGCATGTACCATCCTCACTCTCTTAAACAAAATTCGACCTCGAATTTGAAACATCAAAGGGAGAAAATTCAGAACTTTTTAAGAATTCACTCACATTATACTTGTTGAATATATGTTTTGAATATTCGAGACTGTTTTCTTTTAATAGTTTCGAGTAGAAAATTAGTCCAAAGAAGCATGCAATCTTATCATTATAGATTATGGATCATGTATCATTCCCCTTCTCCTCAAAAGGATTCATCCACGAATCTGAGAATCCAAAAGAAGAGAATCATATGTGTTGAAAGAAAAGTTTGTGAAACACTTACCAGAATCAATGTGATGTGTCTTTATGTGTTTCAATAGAGGTTTTTTCTTTGTTGTAAATGTTTTCTTATTGTCTTAAAATCCATTTTTTAGACAAGTCTCATAGTCTAGTGTATAGGTTTGAAATTCAAAATGGCGTCGGCTACTGTTGGCTTTGTTTATGATTTCTTCATATGTGTTCTCCATGGTTTTACTCGCACGTGGCCAAAATAAGTGTTTGAAAATTATGTCAAGTGATTTGCTAAAGTAATCCATTATCACTTGCTAAAGTAATCCATTAAGTTTCCTAAGTGTGGTTCATGAACTAAGAATTATCGTGAGAAGCTTTGTGTAATACATAACATGTTCATTTAAAAAGGGAACTCATCTACAAGATAAAATTCGATAAAACCACTTTTAAAAAAATGGGTATATATATCAGAAGTTTTCGAGTCATCGTGATATAAATTTTTAAGATGTTCAAGTCTCATAATAGTAACATGCTTTTGAGAGATAAGAATATACCTTTGGGATAAAGCATCTGTTACTATATTTTTCTTACCTCGATCTTTTAATCACTTAAAATATTTTTGGTTATTATGGGTGTTAACCTCCATTGGAAGTATGTTGTTTTGCCAAACTAAGTTTTTTAACATTTCCACAATAAAAAAAGTAGATAAGAATATCATCAAAATCAACATACTTACTTGTGAAAATGTGATTCATCACTAAAATGACACAATAACTAAGACTTTCCTGCATGTAAATTTTTTCAATTTGTTGTTCTAACTTTTTAGTTTCCTCAGGATTGTTTGCTTAATTTGATTATGAAGGAACCTTGAATTATATTAACTTTATGTTCTATCTCTCTTTTCGATGGTAATCCATCAAGTAGATCATATAACACTTCTCGAAAATCTTACGATGAATAAACACACTAGGCAACCTTTATTAATGTTAGAAATCAAAATAATTGATTCCCTAAAACAAACAATGATGCTAGACTTTTTGTGAAGAAGATTCTCTCGCAATTCATTGGTGCTTACATATAGATTTTGATTCTCTCTTTTCTTCTCATAATTAGGTTCAATCACCTCCCATGTATCATTATTCTTTTGGCTTTTGTGACTAGTGAGCTCTAATTCTTTTGTCTATTTTTCAGTTTTTTCTTTTTTAGTTTCCTCACCCTCATAACAAAATGTCATCACTTGTCTTTCAAGTGTATCTTTTGTTTCCAATTATGTAAGGGTAAAAGACTGAAGATTGATATCTTTCATTACAATGCTAATAGCACCATATTCATTACTTTCAATGTCTGGTTCATTATCGGTGTTAATATTCTCTTTTGGGTTAGAATAATCCGTTTATGATTTTAATGAATTAAAATCATCGTCACAAATAAGTGAATTTCTCAAATTGGTACATTCGCGACTAGTATGACCATATCATTTGCATGTAAGGCAATGAATATATCTTGTTTGGAGTTTTTTAGGGTTTTCGACTCTATCATTTTTAGCCATTCCAATATTTTCCATCTCGATAGATTTCTCATCCTTAACTTTCTTTATCATGACAGAAGATTTAGGTGAAAGATAAGAAGTAT